TGATAAGAAAAGGGTCTGGCTCCCATTGTACTCTTAGAGACTCTAGGAACAACCAACAACCCTGTATTCTTGGAACGCAATGCCCTAGTGCAGGGGTCGGCAAACCGCGGCCTTCGAGCCGCATGCGGCCCTTTAAAGTGCCTGTGACACGAACCCAACAACTGTTGTGCAATGAAATAGTGGGCTACTAGTAATCTCGAACCGTCAGTTTAAAAAAGAAAAAGCGATACCGTTCCGATAAATATCAATAATTTCGAACATCGCGGGAAAATTCCTTCGACTCATTTTGAGGTTTTGGGGGAAGCCGGAAGTGACGTCAATGCGGGAACGCTTCACTGTGCGGCGAGAGAGCCAAACACGGACAAAGTGTGTTGTCATGCGTAGAAATGGTGAATTACTGACTTTAGGCACGTTAATAACGTTTTAATGAAGTTGATTACAGTATATTCATATATGTCAGTGCTTTCATGTCAATTCGGCGAACATAAACATACATGATCGTGGTGAAGATGATGATTAAATTAGGATTACAAATCGGTAGTGAGAGCTGCTGAATTTCCTCCCGTCGGATGATTTAATCATCATCTTCACCACGATCATGTATGTTTATGTTCGCCGAATTNGCATTTTACTGAGTACCGGCACCTTGCCGGTACTCAGTAAGAAGTGCCGGTACCACATGGGTAAAAATCAGAAGTGCCGGTACTGCGTACCGGTGAGTACCGGCCCAATTCAAGCACTGTACATCACACAAGAAAATAGGTTGATGTACCCATTTTAAGCATTGGAGATTCTTAAGTTTCTCGAAAACATTTGTACAACTTGTGTCACAACATGCAATGGAAACAATCATCTTTTATTAAACAGTTTTAATAACTTCATGCATTTACAGTACAATCAAACACACATTCATGACTGGCCCGATGACAATGCATGCAGCAATCTGAGTAAATAGTGAAGGTGTTTGGCTGTGTCGCTGAGAGAACTGGAACTTTTTTATTTGGTAGGTTACACTCAGTCGTCGTGCTTAAGCTTCCTGATCTTTCCCTTGTGGCGGTCAATCTCGCGCTGCATACGTTCAATCTCCTTTTTGTGGTGTTCAATTTCCTCCTGGTGATGCTGCTTCAACGCAGCCAGCTGTTCCTGCTCCTTACGCCTAATGTGCAGAGGGACAGATAACAGAACCAACACAGAGAAATAAGGACAGGAAGAGAAAATCATAATAAAGAAAATGTTTGTAAAAGTTAAGGTCCATGATTTTTAAAGACAGATGTAACACTCTAAGTCAACATGTGGTCGCTGTAAAATAAATAAAGGCATACTTGAAGTACATCTCCTCCTCAGCAGCCTGTTTCTTCCCCATGGATCCACCTGCCTCTCTGATGGACCCTCCAGCACCACCACCTTTTCCTGCACCTTTACCCAGCTCACCCAACTGAGGCAGGGCGGGGAAATGTTAGGTAAATACATTCAGAGACAAAAGAGAGCCTTGTTAGGTCTTTGCTCAATAGACAATATTTAAAGAAACAGTGTCTTCATATTTCACAATTTCAAGGGTAGTTATTAATTGTCTGTGCTATGAAGGTAGATTCAGGCCACAATGACTGAATCTAAAAGGTCAACAATTAGTTTGTTTCAGGAGTCAAACAGGACTCTTTGTTAAAAAGCTGATAATAGAGATAAGGTAACTTGGAACAGACCAGAAACTGTTTGTGTAAAACGATGCAACCAAAACCACAGAGAAAAAACCCCAACCATGAAAGTGATGTATTTCCTGAATAAAGCAGGTAGCCAGGAAACTACTGTTTTTTCTTTCAAGCCAATGTAACATAATGTGATTAAAATAAATAATTTGTAGTGAAGGTAATTGTTGTAAATCTGTCCCAGAAATTGATTTACTTGAAAATCCCTCTGACCTACAATCATGCCACCAACAGTTGTTTGTCCACTTGTCAACAAACGTTCAGCTAATTAGGCTAATTCATGTATGATTCACACACAGCAACCAAGTGGTGTATTGAAAGGATGTATTTTACCTGGTCGGAGGACATTCTAAGTTGTGATGTGACAAAAGTCCTGATGTTGGGCCTCAAAAACCTCGCCATTTCTGTGTCTCACGTGTGAAAACAACACTGACAGTTTCCAGGAGAAGAGCTTGCCCTTGTCCTCAAAATACGCCACAGGAACACACCATTATTACTCAGACAGGGGTAACGACATCATTCATCACGGTCAGGTTCGTCTAATGTAAAACCGAGGAAATAGCAAATCATATTTTAACACACTCCGCTGCAACCAATTTTATTTTTGAATAAGGAGTAGTTAAATATAGTTTGAGGAAATGCGCCGTGTCTTTTTTTCCAAAGTGGTATGGTCCCGAGAGTGGGCACCGTGACAACGCACGTTTTTTACGTTTCTGCTGACATGCCAGAACTTGTGAATATCTTGTTTTATAAAATGTATTTTAAAGTATATAAAATATGTCCCTTTAATTAATCTATCAAGGATATCCCTTAGCTTTCAAGTACTACTTTTCCCCCAACCTTTTGAATTTTTAATGCGCTTTTGTTCTCAAGTTTCAAATAAAGTTGTGGGAGAAAAAAACAAAACCCTTAACAGAAAATCTAAAGTCCTTGGACATTAAACATCCTAAACATGTGTCGCAACGTCGCAACACATTTTACATGTTTGAAAGCAACAGTGATTTCATCATTAATCATTCATTAAGATGTAAGTCCATGTTGAGTTGTAAAGGAGTGTTAAGGAAGCCTCTAGAAATTATGCCATGTAGAAAAGTGGTATCTTTTTCAATAAAACTCATCATAGCAAATGAGTTAAAGTTTTCTCAGTCAGACTAAAATAAAGGATGAACTTTGATCTGTAAGGACTAGAAATACAAGCTAACATTTTGGTTTAATTTAAGCATCTACAAAATAAAAATAAAATCAACCATAAGAAATGCTTTGAAGGATTTTATTCAATGCAGCAAAGAAAGTACAGTTTCCTCACAGATCAATCCAAATACTGGCTCACACCCTTCCCCAGGTCCCCTATAAATACTTTGCTTGCCAGGCAGCTCTGAGCTCACTCGGTCCAAAAACCAAAAGAAGAAACTAAGAAACACCTAATCAACTTAAAATTTCAAACCACATTCAAAAATGTTCACAATTCATATCATTCGCCATTACTCGACTAATTAAAGTTACATATGTACAAGTGTGGTTGGAACCTTGTCGGCAAGCAAGTGCTTTAAAAAACAGAAAAATAAGATCCCCATTTATGTAAAAAAAATGAAAAGACTAAGCTTAATACAAATTATATTTTTCTGCACCGCTCCTGTTCATTATCTGAACATAACAGACATTAAGAGGCCCCCATATTTCTTCTGTGTGACAGTTTCTACTTAGTTTTCCTGGCAAAACTGAGAATTTGAGTTGATGATTCATTCATTATTTTACCCTTGGGCTTTACCGAGATATTTCTAAAGAAGCAACGGTTGCACTTGAGAGACACATTTCATTCTGGCCTGTGTATCTGCAAAAAGCCATGCCATCATTATGTATGTAGTTGCTAATTATGTGTTTCTTTCCTCTTTTTTTTTTACATTCACAATAAATAAAACTTGGTATATTTTTAGGATCAACCACTTCATAAAGCTTAAAAATATACTCATTAGATTTTACAGTTAGATGTCATGTACACATCAAAACAAACACTTATTTCTGTAAATACAATTTCAGGTTTTGTCTTTATAAATGTTTAAAAGAATAATACAACTCTTCCGAAATGAAGTAATATAAAAAACTAAGGCTTAGGGTCAATCTGCAAAATGTGAAACCTGCTTTGACAACAGCTTTTGCTAAACACACATTGCCTGGATGTATTGCTCTCAACAAGTGAATATTTTGGCTATCTACCGAAAGAGCGAAAGTTCTTTTTTTAATGCTGGCTTGTGCTGATATGTTTTGGTTTTGTTTAAAAAAGGTTATAAAGGGCACAAAATTAAAAGTATGGCAAGAGAGGAAATAACTAAAACAAGATAAAACAATATGGGGGGTGGGGATAGGTAGAAAAGGACCAGGGTACATCACAGGCCCAGCAGCGGTCTGCGGAGGCCCTTTTGAGGAGGCGGCGAGCGCGCCCTGCCCTCCCAGCCCCGTCAGTCCTGCTTGACGCTGCCCAGCGCTCTGAGGCGCTCCAGGAGGGGAGGGTGGGAGTAGTGCCACATGGAGAACAACCAGTCAGCCACGGGGAAGCCCAGGTTGTCCTTGTTGAGCTTGATGAGGGCAGAGTAGAGCTCGGAGGCTTTGCCCATGCCGCGTGCAAAAGCATCAGCCTGGAACTCAAACCTGCGACTCAGGACCGTCAGACAGAAGGACAGGAGCTGCAACCACAACATTAACAAACAACTGAACTTGTGACGAAATCTGAGGTAAAATACAAAAAAATTGATCAAAAACTGATGGAAACCCTATTTATCGAAGCACACCCACCTCATTGTACGGGGAGAAGATGAACTGGAAGATAATCATCAAGCCTATCAATGTGGGTTGGCTGACATTGAAGCCAAAAGCTACAAATAGCTCCTTACGTCCAATCAGAACAGCAAACAGGGAGAAGCACAGGAAGGAATTCATCTGGAAAAAAGAACAGACTCAGAAGATGTTAATTGCATATAAACTTACATTTGAATGTCTTTATTTGATTGTGAGTAATCAAGTTGTGGTTTTGTTTAAATGCAGACATTAGGAGAACATGTGTCACCTGACTGATGACGATATTCTTGACAGTGTGGCCAAGCTTCCAGTGGCCAAGCTCATGACCAAGGACGGCGAGGATCTCTGAGTTGTTGCATCCTTGTTTCTTGTTCTGAAATGTTAATTGTAAGAGAACACAAGACATTCAGGTCACAGGGATCCCTACAACAGCCGGTTTGAACATTTCCTAGTAATGTAAAGAACCCTAGTTTTTAAAATAGCAATAGGACATTTTCTGAATGCAGTTTATGGCTTTGTAACCTTGGGCTTGGCTTTGGATTCGCTCGATGTGTCCTCTCCCTCTGCCTGCTCGGGCTGGGGCTCTCCGGACTTGTTGAGAGGTGAGTAGTCTTCCAGCAGTGTGTCAAACAGCACAATGCGTTTGTTCTTGAAGAACCCATAGAAGTAGGCGTTGCTGTGTGAAGAACGCTTAGAACCTGGAATTATGGAAAACATTCAAGACAATTTAAGACTGCCGTATCCTAAACCAAGCTGTCGAACCATTTAAAAATGATCTCTTCAACTTGACAAAAACATGCAATCTGGATGATGCCTCTTTGTATTACTTTACCTTCAACTACATAAACCTTGGTGAGGGGGAAGCTTATACTCTTGGCCATATCCTCAATGTCTGTCTTCAGCTCTCCTTCTGGCAAAGGTGTGAACTTGTCGAACAAGGGAGCAATGTAGTCAGCATAGATCGTTACGAGTACCTGAGAACAAAGGAGAAGAGGAGATGTATTGTGATAAACAACCAGCCAAAGTGTAACTACAGAGTGTTTTTGTGTTATTTTAGAGCTACTCCGTAATTGCCAAACAAACTACACATTCCTTTGAAACACGATTAATCCCTTTTCTAAGAAGTGCATTCTTTGTTTGTTTCAACACAAGGTGAATACAGCACCGACCAGAGAAACAGCCAGGGTGAAGAGCCAGGCGTAGATGAAAAAGTAGTCTCCACCAATCTTGATGATGTACAGGAGCAGGGAGGTGACAGGGAGCAGGATACACTGGGTCACAATGAACTTCTTCACAGCATCCTTAAGGAAGAACCCAAACGTCTGAAAGGATGACAACAACATATGAAAAACCATCCTGGATGATAGAAACAGTTGTTTTGCCAACAAAAAGCCAAACCCCTTTTTTTGCTAATTGAATGTACCTGCTGGTTAAAGCCATGCTTCTCCTCAATGACAAATGTGTTGTACACACTCCAGGGAAGTCCAGTAAAGGCACTGAATAGGGTGGCAAGCGTCAGAAACACAAGCGACTGGGTGATCTCGTACTCTGAACCAAATCCTATGCGAGCCGTCACAGAACCAGCGAGCTCCCACATTAATGGGATTCCACCCAGGAGCAGGATCAACTGAAAAGTTGGGTACATAAAGTTAGCCTTTTAAATATAAAATAACATACATATGATAATAAATAATATTGAGTTTAAAATCATGTTAAACTCAATATTCATGGAAAATAATCAATCACGCTTTAATATTATATTTTAAATCCGAGTTCTCTCTCTTATTCCATGTACATTTGAAGTGACAAAAGTATACAGACTTATGACACAGACTTGAAACACAGGGCCCACTTCAAGACATCCTTAATAATAAGACTGATTGTGAAAGTACAGCTTTTTTGCTGAGACATCTATTGCTTTTAATTTCCTGGTTGTCTTACCGTCCCTTCAGTCTCAGAATAGAGTCCAGACCAGAAGCTGAAGTTGCTTTTATCCAGCTGATAGAGACGAGACTTCTCAAATGTTTCCGAATCCATGATCTTCCCAAGTTCCTGTGGCACATGTGTGGTTGATCTGTATATGCTCCTCTGTGAAAGGGAAAGAGATCAGCACTGATGTTATACACAAGTCAATTTGTATTAGTAGCCTATGCTTCAATTTCAGACGAACATGGGTTTATATCCCTCTAATTCTTGCTATTGAAATATTTCTAAGTGCATTTATTTGGACTTATAAAACTACAATTATCCTGCTCCTCTGTTCTGTCATATACACACAGTTGTTAACATCCTGTTTTAAGGGGAAGTACACCCAACTCAGCAAAAAGCTCCGAAAATGCCATTTCATTCTGTCTTACCAAACTTGCCAAACAAAAGACGCCAGAAACAGGAATCATAATATGTAGACATTTGTTTCTGCGTTTACTTTTTAAGAAATCATACATGTCTGCCAACATCTGTCAACCTCATGCTGACACTCTTCTGAATTATAACTAAACATTTTTTTCAAATACTTTGTAACATAGAAATGTAATCCAGTTGTCATAGTTTCACAAAGGTAAAATACATAAACGTGTGGACACACATGTGCAGGTCCTTGCGTAAACATTACTGTTATATAAATTCTGTCAAACTAAACTATTTTTAAATGAACTTGCATTAATCTTGAGTTTGCAAGAATATAAAACAATCACACATTTTACACTACACATGTATTTTTTCGTTCATTGCACTATTTGGTTTGGGGTCCTTTCCCCCTCCACAAACACATTTAGCTACAAAGGAGGAACTTTGACTGACACATTATTAATTTACCTGTCTGTAAGAAAGGTATGCCTCCCAGAGATACACCGTCCACGAAAATCCCAAAACAGCATAAAATATCAGCTTCTCCACCGGGAGGTCAAATATACTTTCAACCATCTTTGCAGTGTTTTAGTTCTGTGTTGTTGGAGTAGGACTGGCTAGCTCTCAGGCTAACGCTAAGGTTACCGTTTCCTAGCCTGACGGGTAGTTTTAGCTTAGCAGCTACTTAGCTTTCACTCTAAACACAAACACACACAACTATTTGAGGTTAACTAAAGGGAACACGGTTCCCACGTTAAATCGACAAATACCGACTAACTGTGCATCCAGTTTCCATTCCTAAATAAAGGCTTTTACATCTAATATATTTCCATTCATGCGAGATGTGAGGTGTGGCAACACATTCTATCCCTGTGGAAACAAAGACTACTATACGTTTGGTTCCGCTGCTGATTTGTTGCAGTTGTGAGGAACTCAATAAAACACGTCTTAAAACTATCCTGAGAAAGCTTTTATCTTATTAATGCTGGCCTTTTCAGTAACTCAACTGTGATTATTAAAGAGTTCAGCAATATGTGAAACTACTTTCTAATTCGTCTGTATGTATATGATATTATATCCATTGTTTACTGCGATAACCCCCTGATATTATTTTTTTATTTGCATACAATCCCCTGCATACTGAATCTGTAATGTATTTTGTTCTCAAACAAAAATAATAGACATTATATAAAACATTATTATACTATGAAACTGTTAAGTTAACTCTTTGAACAATATAAATGTAATTATATTATACAAGTACATTTATTTATTTTAAATCATCTTCCTGTTTCTCTGAACCCTCAGGTGGAGGATAGCTTATTTTGTTCATCAAACAACCTTGCTATGATCATACATCCATGGATCAGATCCCTACAAAGATAATGTTTTAAACGCGAGTCCTCCTCTAGAGAAGCTGTGCCACACCTCAATTGTGCAGAATACTTGTCATGCAAACAGTGAACTTGTGTGCTAAAGTTTATTCAGTGTATGGTGTAAATGGAAAGTAATTCTTATATATTTAAATATATATAAACATATGAGATTAATAACCCTGATTTATCTCAGTCTATCAATTATTACATTAGGCGAAACACCATATTTGAAATAATCTAAACCTAGCATCTAACTTCAGTCATTGCCAAATTATAATGTTCAGGGGACATAAATTAGTCACTGTTTTTTCCCACTATCCTCTCTATTATGCCATTTCTGACTGGCTCCTGGGTTTATGTGTGGTAGTTCAAAGTAACGCAGTTGTAAAAAAATGCGTAGTCTTAAAATAATTATGGTATTAAAACCTACATCTTCAAAAAGCAACCTCCTGTTGTTTAAGTTGTAAATAAACCCAAACTAAATTAAAGTTAATATTTTTTGCACAAACTGTTACAGTTTATGGGGTCCAGGACTTTAGGTTGACACTAGCTTTGCCCAGTAAATCATCCAGTAAAATCCCGATTTTTTTGGATAAAATCCTGAAGTTTCCAATAGTGATATCAAATAAAAAATACTTCACTTATAAAAGTAATTGTTACTTCAAAAGGATGTTGTCATAGCTATAGGAGAACAGAGACACTTCTGATATACATCCCTTTTGGTAATAGTACCTCATCGTGTACCATTACACTTAAACACTATATTCCAGGCAGTGGAAATACATAGAACACAAGAGATGATTTTAAATTAATTAGTTGTTTTTCAGGTTTGCAAACAGCACCTATGATACCCTTTCTCATGACTTCGTATATATAAAAAGAGTCACTTACACAATTCTGAAAGTTAAAGGCTTTATATTTGTTTCCACATTTATTTATTTAAAAATGTGATACATACATACATACATACATACATACATACATGGCTGCCAACATCTGTACACTGCATCCCAACACTTATTTATTATAAACTGAGGTGAAAATAACCAAACATATTCCTCGAAATCTTTGTAGTAAAGAATTGCTTTCTTTCAGTCACAAGTTCACACAACTGAGAAGGTATTGCAATACACTACTGACCATTTCTAACAATCTGAACATCTGTACATTTATCCTGGAGGAACACAGTATATACATTTGTGATAACGAGTTAACTTATTAGGTGCCATCTGAATGCTTTCATGTCTAAAAAGAATATGAACTATTTACACTTGTTTTTCATTGCAATGCTAATTTGTATATGATTCTTCAGTTTGGCAAATAAAAAAACAAACAGCAGAAACATAATACTATAATTGAGAGAAAAACTAAATACTGATCAACTTGTGAAAGTACAAAATCATTTTCCATAGCTATGTTAAAAGGTGCTAAGTTGAACTAACTTCCAAGCAGCAGTTCGCAATTGTTGGTGTCTGATGGGAAGATGTCCGGCAGGGTTGTGCTGCACACCGGCCTCTCCAGCACCACCACAGGTCTCAGATACTGGAGCTGCTTAATAGCCAGGTCCCCACACCCCGCCAAGGCTTTGTCCAAGATGGACTTCAAGTTTTGGACAGATGTAAAGTCTTGAGTCATAGAATGGGGCTTCAGCAGTGGGGAATGAGTGCGTCTACGGTTGCGAGAGATTCTCAGCTGGTTGTTCTCTTTTACTGAACAACCACGTCTGAAAGACTCTCGCCGTTTCGCTGCCTGCAAGTTTTTGTCTTTCGGCGTTGTATCTTGTATGAACCTCAGGAAGGAAGACTCAAAGCCTATAGGCTTATAAGCTGTGATGTCAAATGGGAGAGGAGAAGGGCTACAAGGTTGAGTGTCTTTCAAGTTTAAGGGTGGTTCAGACAATTCATTTTTTCGTTTTAGTGGCTGGCGAACAGGAGGGGTGGGCAACGGAGCTGCCCCGTTCACCAGTTTACCCCCATCCTTGCTGCCTGACGAGTCTTGAAGGCCCTCCACAGCAGTTATGCACAGTGAGCAGGGTGGCGAGAGATCAACAGTGAGGGAACGAAGAAGAGGTTTGATTTGATCCAAGCTTAATCTCTCTTCCTGCTTCTGGCTGTTCTGTGCTGCTGCTGCAGCAGCAGAGCCTTCAGTGTGACCTCCGGTGCTCGGCTCACCGTAAAGAACCTCATCTGCATCAACAAGGACACCATTTCTCTCAACAGCTGGCGGCTCCTCCTCTTCTTCCTCCTCTGGGAATCCTGTTGTGTTGTCATTATCCTCCTCCTGTGTGGCTGCCTTGATGGAGTGTAAGCTCATGGCCGCAGGCTGCCCCACTGTGCTTTCTGGCTCTGCCTGATACTCCATTTTGCGAACCCCATTAGGGGAACATGCTCCCGTAACAGTTGTCCTGGCTGACTTCCTCTGAATCAGTTCCTCCAGCTGCTCAGCATTATTAACCAGCTTATCTCTATGTTTACGGATATCCTCCCGACGCATGCTGTGAGTCCTCGTGTAGTGACGGTGTAAGCTATTCAAGTACGTGACGACAGAATCACAGTCCTGCATCATGCATGGGTAGGCCTTGAGCAAACCACGGTCTTGGCACATCTGTAACGCTTCTTCTTGAGATCTGAAGACATAACGGCTGAAACAATACCTCGGTTGCCTTTTTTCTCTGTTTTTCATGTCATCGACAGCTTCCTCACCCGTCTCCTGTGACTGGGTGGTCCCATCAGGCTCTGAACTGGATCCCTCAGCCTGTGCGGCGGTTGATCCAGATTCTTCTTTCTGAGGACTCTGTGGTGCAACAATTAGCTTTTTTTGGCATCCAGTAATTGACTTTTTGTGAGTGCTCTGCAGACGTACCACCAGTGAATCGTAGTACTCACAGTGACTATAAAGCGCATGTTTTTTAAGTGCATCATCATGGCTGAACACTTTTGTGCAGCCTTCAAACTTGCACCTTATCGGCTCTGAAGGTAGTGAGTGAGAATCCCGAGTGTGACGCACTAGGCTGCTTTTAAGGTGGTAGGAAGAATGACAGTTGGGAAAGTTACACTTGTATTGGGGCTGAGGTTCATCTAAGTTTGGATGAGGCCTTTTCTTGGTGGGCTCTTTTCTGGCTTCTGGTCTGTGATGCGTCTCAAAATCTTTTTCCAAAAGGAGTTGAGAGCGATTGTAATGATGTATCAACTGTAAGTGGCGCACGAGGCCCCCCTGGGTGGAAAAAGCAGCATCACAATGTTTTGCTACACAATGAAAGGGTTTACTGAATTTATCCAGCATATAGCAGAGATTACCTTTGGTTACCAATCGTCTTGTAGTCCTGACCTGTTGTGTTGTCCTGTCCCCTCTTTCTCCCTTCTGTGCTTTGTCTTCCTCTTTACCCTCTCCTCCCTCTTCAGATGGTGAGTGATTGCCAATGTTTACTTTATTTTCCCTGACCACCGTTGAGTTTTTTTTCTCTGGTTGGCGTTGCAGCTTGGAGATCTCTTTTTTCCTTACGTTAAGACCATGCTTCTTCAGGTTGAGAGATGCACGCATTGAAGTCTTTTTTTTCCCCTCGTGCTGCATGTAGCTTATTTTGTTGAGCATAGTGGGATTCAGGTTGTGCATGTGAATATAGTGGAACCTCAACCCGCGTTTTTCTCTGTGACTTTGGGAGCAAAGCTGACAGATGTAAGGTTTAAACGATGTTGTTTTCAGAGAAGTCAACCTTCTTGCCTGTTCGACAGAGCGGCCATGTAAGTTGTTATAGTGTCGCTGTAAGCTGTAACTCCGAGCGGTCCTGAAGTCACAACCTTTCATCTCACAGACGTAGGGCTTAGCAGAGGCCAATGATTCGGCGTCACCTTCGGCGTCAACTTCGGCGTCACCTTCGGCGTCACCTTCGGCGTCAACTTCGGCGTCAACTTCGGCATCACCTTCGGCGTCAACTTCAGCGTCAACTTCGGCATCATCAACTTCTTTATCCTCAACTTCTTTATCCTCAACTTCTTTATTCTCAACTTTTTTATCCTCAACTTCTTTATCCTCAACTTCTTTATCCTCAACTTCTTTATCATCATCTGATACTTTTTCAGTTTTGACTTCTACCTCTTCATCTGGCACTTGTAGGGCCCTCTTCCGAAGCAGCACAACAGGAGCCTTTGCCATGATGGACTGATGGAGAGTTGTGTTGGATTCTTTTGACTCTAGGTTGGACTCAGGGAGCTCAATTGGCACAATCTGAGGAGATAATGAATTCAGGTTCAGTTTACTGAGCCCAATAAGGACTTCACTCAGATCATCCGTTTTAGTTTGAAAGCTTGGAGAGTTTGTTTCGTTGATTTGGGGTTCAGTAGCATCTTTTCTTTCTTCGTCTGCCTTCATGGGTTGAAATGGAGTTAAGAGCTCCCCTTTTCCCTCTTCCTCACAGTCGGGCTCCGTTTCAGTCTTCATCCCTTTGGACTTTGAGCCCCGGTCTTTGTCATGTTTGTGTTCTTTGTTCTCCAGTTTGAGGTGTTCTGGGTGGGCACACTTAAGATGCCTCTGGACATCTCTGGCTCTGGAGAAAGTCATGCCACATTTCTCAAAACCACAAGTAAACTTACTTCCATCAAAACACACAGCCACCAGGGTCATTGTTGTTTTGGGCTCCTTACCATCAGGTGATTGCAAAGAGGAGGCACAACTTGTTGAGGAAGAGTTTAGGACATCTCCATTTTCAGTCTCTGCTGCATCACTTGGCTTATTAAGGCGGTTTGACACTTCAGTAGTAAGCGTCTTGAGAAGTTTTCGCCTCGCCTTCCTCTGGGCCTCAAAGTCTTTTTCAGAGAAGGTGATGTTGTGTGTGGATAAATGGTTTATGAATTCTTTTTTGGATAGATAGTATTTACTACAGTCAGCGCTTGGGCATGTAAAGGCTGCATCTCTGAAATGCTGTGCTTCATGGTGGTAGATTTGTCCCAAGTCGGAGCAGATGACGTAGCAGCCTTTGAGCTCACACTGGTAGTTGAGGTGGAAGCCGTGGGTCTGTTTGTGCGCGACAAGCTCGATGGAAGTCTTAAATTTAGCACCACAATCCATAACCACACACATGTAAGGCCGATCTCCATAGTGGACTCTTCGATGTTTGCGGTGATGGTGTGCGGAGGATAAATGGCGTCGGCAAAAAACACACTTCTCACGCTTGTCTCTCATCTGCTGAAAATGTTTTACATTGTCATCACCTCTGTGCTCTGACTTTAAATGAACATACAAGTACTTGGAATGTTTAAAAATCCGAGTGCAGCCGGTTCCTGGACATGGATACTCGTCCCGATTCTGCAGGTTGAAGTGTTGTTCAATGTATTGAAACGTTACATACTCTTCCTCATCTAAATTCTTCTCTTTCACCGTTTTGGCTTGTTGCACGATGTGTTGCAGCACCTCTGGGTCATGTGTGGATTTGTAGTACTGCATTAGGGAAGGGTCAACAGTGATCTCCCCTGGTTCAATAATATCATCCTCTTCATCCACCCGTTTCTGCTTATCTTCTTTCTTTACGTTGAGATTAGTTTTACTCTGCACGTGTTGTTTTAGGTGAGGAACAAGAAACTTTCTGCTCTTAAACTTTTCCAAGCACAAGGGGCAGGGGTGTTTGTTGCCCTCTCCGTGCCTCTTGGAGTGGTGAATGATTTGGTTGTCACTGACCGACCTCTTACAAATCTTACAACAGAACTTGTGTTTCTTTGACTCAGATTCTCCTTCGATTTCTGGTGAGTTAGAAACCTGCTTGTCATCCTTCTGCTCATTATCACCATCAACGCTTCCATTAATCATCTTTTGATGCTCAGATTCCACTTTCACTGCGACTCCCTGAGGCTCAGGTTGTGTGATTTTCTCTCGATTGTCTGTTGCCTCCTCCTCTTCCCCCTCTGACTCCGGCCTCAACCCCAGAAGGGAGATGCAGTGATATTTCAGAGTTTTCCAGTCCCAGAATTCAGGGTCAAACGGCCAGTATGCCTTCAGAGTTAAAAGCAACTCGCAGCGTAGTGAGTTGGGAATTACCTCGCTTTCCTGGTCATTTTTTTGGTCGGGTCGCAAGTAAAGCTCCTTCAAGGACCCAAAGACCTCCGGGCTTGGGCAAAGAATGAATTCTGTGAGAAGGCAGGCACGCAACACTTCAAGGTCTCCTGGAAGAAGGCAGGACACGCTCTTACAGACAGAGATCCTGGTTTCTGAGTCATCTTGCTTTGGAAGTTGAAGTGCTTTGACACAAAGTTCTACTGAGGCAGGTATCCCCATTTCCTGCGTCTGAAAATAAGAGTGATATATTATTAGCCTTATTTCACAATTTGTTCAAATAAAACCTGTTTTACATGCTATAAAGCTTATAGTTGATGAAAGAATCTAATAAGAGTGCATTGATGTAGACACGTTATGCCTCTTCACCTATACATTCGAGTTCTTACTCTTTTTCCTTACTGATGGTATGTCATTTGGTTGTGTGTGTAGACGGTGGAAGCAGGGAGAGGCATATACGTGCCTTGATTCCTGCCGAGTCGACGCACAACTGTTGATTGGTGTCAGTGCCAAAAAACTTTTTAGGAGCAATGCGCTCATGGTATAGATGTGGCGCATACATCTTAGTTCCTACTCTTTTCCCTCACCCTATCCTAAGGGAGTGCATGTATGTAGACACGTTAGTTTTGCTGCTATAGGCTTAGACTGTCGGGGGACACCTTACTTCTTCCTTCTGTCTG